TCCTGTTCGCTTCAAGCTGCCTGGCTGCCGGCCGCCATCTTGGCTGGCAGTTAATTTGCATATCGCCCTGATTAGCCAATGGGAAGGGTAGCGGTGTGACACCAATTTGCATGTTTCTCTTTTATTAGTGTAGATAGGATAGGATAGGATGACTGTCCATTTGCCATTTTGTAGGTTACTAGCGATTTCTCATCTTTACAAACAGTTATATAGCGAGTGTTTTTGATCCTGTCTACTAGTGCGTATGTGAGAGTGTTCTAGGACATAGATTTGGAAGGAGAGTTTCTGGTAAAAGCATGTATATGTCTCACTTCCACTAGATAGATCACTAAAGTGCACTGCACATTAGTTGTACCAACTCAGGCTCCTCCTATCCGTAATGTTGTATGAGAGTGCCTGTTTTTCTGTATCTTTGCCAGTTTAGTGAGAGTGATGTATCTTATTTTAATTTGCCTTTCCTAGGAAATGTTTTGAACGTGTGGATTAATAGATTACTTACAATCAGGCCTCCCTTTAAGGATAAGTGACTATTGTAATGCATATCTTAAACCTGGATTTTGAAGGAGCATTCTAACTTGGGCACAAGCAGCAGTTTCCATGTCATGTTTCATTTTTTTTCGTGTCTTATATATTTTGAGCCTGAGTGAGTTACTTCTTGTGATTGGACTCAGACTGTAGTGGCTGCAGGAGGGAACTGGTTTTGTTGTGCATACTTTCTTCTTTGAAGAGAGTGTCTAATATATTTGTCCTTCCAAATTTTATCTTTTGGCGCTGCATTGGGATATAGCTTCCTAGACATTGGGACACAAATTCTGTGGATGGTGCTCGAGTTTTTTTGCTTGTTCATTTGGTCTATTTTTTAAAGGACCCTGCTGAAGATTCTCCTGCCTTGCTTCTCTGGTCTTCACTCCCCGCAGTGCCTAAAGACCTGCCTTCATTGTTCCCTCTGAGAACAGGCAGCATCCTTCTGGTCTGAATGTTTTGAATTTTCCTTGTTTTAAAATCATGGTTTTTTGATTCTTTAAAAAATAATTTTTTAATTGACTTTTAGAGAGAGAGAGAGAGAGAGAGAGAAAATCGATCCGTTCCATTTATTTATGCATTCACTGGTTGATTTTTATATAAGTTGTTCCTTCACGGAATCCATGCCTGAACCTGTGGTACACGATTTTCAGGTGCCGCATGCGACCCGTCCCGGTGGTGTTCCGTCGCTTGGCCTTGGCACTCCAGTTATACTTCCTCTTGCGCTTGGCAGGGTAGCCACACTTGCCGCAGGTGGACTTCTGCAGGTGGTAGGCCTTGGAGCCGCAGCGGCGGCACAGCGTGTGCGTCTTGTTGCGGCGCTTGCCGAACGAGGACGTCCCCTTCGTCATCTTGCTTCTGCCGCCGAGACCAAAGAGCGGTTTTTTGATTCTTTCAAAAATAATTTTTAATTGATTTTTAGAGAGAGAGAGAGAGAGAGAGAGAAAATCGATCCGTTCCATTTATTTATGCATTCACTGGTTGATTTTTATATATGCCCTGACCGGGGATCAAACCTGCAACTTTGGCCTATTGGGACGACCCTCTAACCAACTGAACTGGCCAGGGCTGTTGGTTCATTTCTTAAATAAATGATGAAGTTAAATTGGTTAAAAATATCTGAAACTTTGAAATGATCAAATTCTTATTTATTTATAACTCACTTCTATAGTCCCTTCAAATATTTCCATTTTAGGGGTTGACTATTTGGTGGCATTTTCATCACTCCGTTCTCTTTTTCCAGGAAGAATACAGAAATTCTATGCCTGCATCCAGTTTTCAACAGCAGAAGTTGCGTGTCTGTGAAGTCTGCTCAGCCTACCTTGGTCTCCATGACAATGACCGTCGTCTTGCAGACCACTTTGGGGGCAAATTGCACTTGGGGTTCATTCAGATCCGAGAGAAGCTTGATCAGTTGAGGGTAAGAAGTCTTGTGATCTTTTCGCATTTATTTCCTTCTAGAAAACTTTTGTTTTTATCCTAAGAATGTGCCTTGAATTTTATAGTGAAATAAATGCTCGATTCATCACTTACTCACACAAGAGACCTAAGGGGCCTTGGACATTTATTTAGTCTGCATTCCCTTTTTATAAGGATAATGGCAGAGTCCAGTACAGGATATGGACACCTCTTGCACATCTCCGAAATAACTTCTGTTAGGAGATGGGGAAAAACCAGCAGCCTCTAGTTTTTCTCTTTGGACAGAGGCAATGCATGAAGAATGCTTAGGCTAGATGGGAGACGACACATCCTGGCCCTTGCCCTGAGCCAACTTAGGCCGAGAAGGTGGTTGTTTTCCTGGGTTAGACTGTAAAACATTTGACATCTTGAGTACAGAACACTAAGAAAGGGTGAACATGTTTCAGATACTTAGAATTATCGTTCTCCAAACTAACAGGAGTCTTCCCTGCTGTGTACTGTGTTAAAATGGGATGCTGGGAAATAGGTAGGCCTTCCCTCTAGACACCTGAAATCTGGTGGAAGGACAGACATGTGGCACCTAACTGTAGGACACTGATAAGACTGATACCCTTGGGTGCCTCTCAGGAAGGAGCAGTGGGTAGCAGAGCTCTGCATCGAAGGAGGGGTCCCCAGGAGGTGATGTGTGATCTCGGCACTGGGCTACGGAGCTGGGGTGGCAGTGAGGATGTTCTCAGCCACTGGTCTTGACACATTTTACTCCTGTGCTCCCAGTAGGATTTTGAAAATTAATACGCTTTGTCACATGTTTTTAAGTCAGAAGTTTTTCTTTATAAGTTTATGGGTATCAAAATTGTAAAAATATATGTAGCCAGTAGAACATAAATAACAATTTTGTGTTTGTCCCCATTTAAAAAATCTCCTTAGCATTTGGAAATGTCACATTCCCATTTCTCTCTCTCTCGCTCTCTCTCTCTCTCTCTCTCTCTCTCTCTTTTTCTTTGTTGTTAATCCTCACCTGAGGATATTTTTCCATTGATTTTTAGAGAGAGTTGAAGGGAGATGGAGAGACAGAGAGAAACATCGACATGAGAAAGACACATTAATTGGTTGCCTCCTACATGAGCACCGGCCCCAGAGATTCAAGCTGCAGCTGAGGCATGTGCTCCCACTCCCAGCAACAAGATGTATTTGGTCTGATACCTGTGTTCTCTTTCACCATAAAGTTGGTGGAGCTCCTTTGGATAGAAAACTAACTTTATGGCTTGATTTAAAGCAATATGATAAATTTTCTCTGACTTAGAAGTACAACATCTCTTAGACTATGCAGTTTCTCGCCCTGGCTGGCAAGCTCAGTGGTTAGAGCATCAGCTTGGGCACTGGAGGGTCGCCACTTTGATTCTTGGTCAAGGGCACGTACCTGGGTTTGCAGGTTCAAGCCCTGCCGTTGATCAGAGCGAGTATGAGAGGCAATCAGTCAATGTGTCTATCACACATCCATGTTTCTCTCTTTCTTTCCCTCCCTCCCTCACACCATCCCCCCTTCCTTCCACTCTAAAAATCAATGGAAAAAATATCCTCACTCCTTAGGTGAGGATTAAAAAAAAGAAGGTATGCACTATGTCACTGAATTTATAAAATGTAATGATAGTTCAGCCAGTGTGGTTCAGTGGTTGAGTGTTGACCTATGAACCAGGAGAACCTAGTTTGATTACTGGTCAGGGCACATGCCTAGGTTGTGGGCTCAATTCCTAGTAGGGGCATGCTGGAGGTGGCCGATCGATTATTGTCTCTCATCATTGATGTTTCTATCTCTCCCTCTCTCTTCCTCTCTGAAATCAATAAAAATATGTTTACAATTTTTTTAGTGTGATGATAAAGCATTTTTAAATGAGTTTTCCATTTTTCATTGTTTAAGAAGTTTTTAAATTTACCATGTTCCTGTTTTTTAAGACTTTCTCTTAGATTTTTAAATTGCCAATACTGAGGTCATATAAATGTGCTTTATTAAACAATATTTACATTCTAGTAACTTTCTCTTCTCTCATTTTCCAATTTTTCATTTATTTAGAAAACTGTGGCTGAAAAACAGGAGAAGAGAAACCAGGATCGCTTGAGGAGGAGAGAAGAGAGGGAACGGGAGGAGCGGCTGAGCAGGAGGTGAGCCCGAGATAGCACATAGTAAGGAAACCCCTACTTTCATTGCAGTGTTGCTGATAACAGTTGAGGTCTGCTAAGTACCTAAGAGGCAGTTAAAAGAAAATAAACTCGCAGCATGTTCAGTTGAGCAAGGTCTTGGCTGGCCTAGAAAGACCTGTGTGTGCACAGCAGTGCAGCACTGGACTGGGCTATCTTCAGCTGCACGAGAACTCTGGTGACTTAATTCTTACCTGGAAAGATCTAGACACCACCCTCCATCCCCCACCCCCGAGGGTAAAGCATAGAAGAGGGAGAGGAACCTGCTACACCCCGACTCCTGTGGATGTAGCGCTCGGCAAATAGGACAGGCAGGAACAGGTGTCAGGCTGCTATGCCTAGCTGTACAAGAAGGTCCTTGGGGCTGTTTAGCCTCTGGCATTGACTTGAGTGAAATGGGGCCAGTGGAGGAGGTTGGGACCTGCTTTCTTGTGAGTAAATGCAGGTGGTAGGGGCAGTAGCAGCAAGAATAGTGAGGAGCCAGCTGGGAGAGCCCAGAAGGAGGAGGTGGAAGTTTGAATCAGGTGAGGGTGGGAAGGGTCTGGGTATAGAGCTGATTAAATTTCTTGGTAATAAGTTGTGAGGAAAGCAAAGGGGGAATGGAGCTGGTGTCATGGTTCTGGCCTTGAGTGACCATCTACGGAGATAGGAAAGACTAGGAGCTGTGTGTTGGCGTGAGGAGGATGTAGGGAGTATAAATTGACTCTGGACATACTCAGTTTGAGATGTGTAAGAAGCATCTAGGTAGAGATGTTGAGTCTGGTCGGAGTTCAGGGAAGAGACCTGAGCAAGGAGTAACTGTGCTCTCCTGTTGGGCACAGCTCATTGTCCTTGAAAGGTCCAAAAACTGGGTTTTCCTGAAGGACTTCCTCTGTGTGTAACTATGGAAGGATAAATAAGTATTTATTATATTTTTCCCATTAATTACCTAACAGATTCTGGTCGTAAAGAAACTTAAGCAGTATAGAAATGTACAAGCAAAACATGCAAGTCCCTGTTTACACAGAGGTGACCACTGTGGTGTGGGTTGTATCTGTGTGCACTGGCACCTGTGGGACCCTCAGCTGATATCTGAGATCATCCACAGCAGGTGTGTCCTTACAGTGATGTGTCATAACAGTATTCTTTTTCCCCCCACCTTCACCCTTTTCATTCACTTCCCCATCCCGTGCCTCCACATATAAGTGAAATCATATAGTATTTGTCTTTGTTTGACCTGTTTCACTTAGCATAATGCCCTCAAGGTCCATCCATGTTGTCACAAATGGGAGGATTTCCTTCTTTTATATGGCTGAATAATATTCCCTTGTGTATGTATCAGTTTTCTTTATTCATCTGTCAGTAGACACTTAGTTGGGGTTGGAAATAAATACAGTAGTTCCTCCCCTTATCTGCAGAGATAGATACCTAAACCTGGATGCTTGAAACTGCAGATAGTACTGAACCTTAAGTAAGCTGTTTTTTTTCCTATGTATACTTTACGGCTTCTCTTTGCCAGCATCATTACTCCTGTTCTTTGTGGTCAATATTAAGTAGAATAAAGGTGACTTGAACGCAAGCAATGTGGTACTTCACCAGTTGTTCTGATAACCAAGATGGCTACTAAGTGACTTATCAGGCAGGTAATATATACAGCATGGATATGCTTGACAAAGGGATGATTTGTAGAACGGAGTGGGATGCTGCAAGATTTCATCATGCTACTCAGAAGGGTGTGCAATTTAAAACTTATTTTTTATTTCTGGAATTTTAATGTTTTCAGACTGCGGTTGACCGTGGGTAACTGAAGCTGCAGAAAATGAAAGGAAAGGGGGGACTACTTTACCTAGAAGTGGAATTGCTGGGGCGTTGGTGGGTCTAGTTTTAATTCTTTAAGGAATTTCCATCGTGGCTGCATTAATTTACATTTCCACCAACAGTGTATGAGGGTTCCCTTTCCTTTTCTGGTGGTGCGGGGGGGCGGGGTCATTTTGGTCTTTTTTTATTAATTTTTTTCAAAAATTGATTTCAGAGAGGAAGGGAGAGGGAGAGAGAGCTAGAAACATCAACAATGAGAGAGAATCATTGATCCGCGCGCGTGCACGCGCGTACACACACACACACACACACCCGGGGATCGAGTCCGCAACACGGGCATGTGCCCTTGACCAGAATCGAACCCAGGACCCTTGAGTCCACAGTCCAACGCTCTATACACTGAGCCAAACCAGCTAGGGCCAATTTTAATTTTTGATGACTATTTTTATGTTTTTATAAAACTATTTTGAACAGTTATTCTAGAAATCATCTTTGTATATGTTTTGAGTGTTAAAAAATTCCTTAGAATTTCTGGCATAAAGGAATTTAATAAATAAATATTGGTAGGTGTTACAGAAATTGCTTTCCAAGTGGCTTTATTAAATCACCTCAAGCCACACAGTATAAGAGCATGTTTTGTCACTTCCTCCTCAGCCCATGTTGATGGCAATCATGTAAACTTTTGATGTGGACACTGTAAAATGAGGTCTCATTACTATGTGCATTTTTTGAATTGCTGATGGTATACTATTACCCAAGGACCTCATCTGGCAGTGAGCCTGTGTTTGGAACTTGAGGTTTTGCTTTAACTTTGGTGTCATGGTGACTTTTGCTTCTACTCAGCCCTGTCTCTGTTAGGTGACTGCTTTGTTGTGCTGGTGTCCACTATAAAGACTTCGCAGAGTCAATTGTTGAACTCGAGGTGCTTGGTCCTGTCCTTTTGCCAAAAGCAGCTAGAAGCTGGGGGTTGGAGGTGGACTTCATTTTGTAAGCATTGACACTTGGTGCCACAGGCCTGAGGACAAGTGAACCGCTAGAAGATAATGGGTTTGGGACTCCTCCCCTGAGATGTGAGGGATAGGGCTGTTTTGGGGAAAATGTTCATTTTTTTTCTCCCTTCATTTTAGGTCTGGATCAAGAACCAGAGATCGCAGGAGGTAGGTTTCCAGATCCAATTAATCCCTAGCCGGTTTGGCTCAGTTGATAGAGCATTGGCCTGTGGACTGAAGGGTCCTGGGTTCTATTTTGGTCAAGGGCATGTACCTCAGTTGCAGGCTTGATCCTGGATTCTACTAGGGGTGTGTGTGGGGGGCAACCAATTGATGTGTCTCTCTCACGTTGATGTTTCTCTGTCTCTCCCCCTCCCTTCCATTTCTCTAAAAATAAATGGAAAAATATCCTCAGGTGAGGATTAAAAACAAACAGATCCATTTGAGTGTTCTCAGTCACATGTTCTTTTCCACATGCATTTTTCGTCTTCTTTATTTTAGAGAGGAAGGTGGGAAGGGTCTGGTCATAATTCTTTCTGACCAGAGATTAACTGATGGCACTGTTTTGAACCCAAGCTGTAAGTTTGTGGGAGGAAAGGAGAGAGAGCAGAAAAGCATCAAGCTGAATGTGCTGAGAGAGGAGGGTGGTTGGGGTGGGGCCACCACAGCCTTCAGAGCCTCTGGTCTACTGCAGGTCACGTTCCCGGGACCGGCGTCGGAGGCGGTCAAGATCTACCTCCAGAGAACGACGAAAGCCTTCCAGGTCCCGGTCCCGAGACAGACACCGGCGTCACCGCAGTCGTTCCCGGAGTCACAGCCGGGGCCACCGCCGGACTTCCAGGGACCGGAGTGCGAAATACAAGTAACTACTCTGACTTCTTCAGTAGCTGCAACCAGGAGTGAGCCCTTTCTCTTTGTGTTCCCTGGGTCTGCTAGGGTCCGTCAGCCATACCTGTTGCTCAGGAGACTGGCTGGGCATCTGTGGGACTGAGTATTGGGGCTTTGAGGAGTGGTGAATGGAACCCAAAGTCCTGGGAGCCCTAAGCTGAGAGCAGCAGATGGATTCAGGGATGGGACAACTGAGGGGCTGTGGGGGTGGTCACACATGAGCACGGCCCCACCAGGTGCCTGACACACGCAGGGGCTGCCAACTCACCACCACTGAGGCTTGTGCCCTGCTTATCTCTGTTGTGGTTTTTCTAAGGGAAAACACACCACTGTTACAACTTTGGTATATTCTTGGGTTTAGTCTTTTTTTTCATTGTGTTTTTACATAATGGGTCATATTCCACGTGTGGACCTTTTGTTGCATTTTCCTTTGCTCTGTTTATATTATAGCTGCTACTAGAAATCTTTTCAAATGTCACTTTTTTAGTGGCTGTGGGCTGGGCATGAGATGGCAGGCCTGACTGCTCTCTGTTGTGCTAGGGAGCCTTTCTTGGTGGGGTGGGTCTTGGCCTTCCTTGACGTGGTGTTGAGGGGCATCTGAGGAGACAGAAGGGAAACAACAGCCTCTGCTGAGCCTCTGGTTCCCATTTCCCAGGTTCTCCAGAGAGCGGGCGTCGAGGGAGGAGTCCTGGGAGCGAGGTCGGAGCGAGCGTGGGGCCACTGACTGGAGGCTTGAAAGCTCCAATGGGAAGACATCGGAGGAGAAGGAGGCTGGAGAGATCTGAACCTATGCCTGGGCGCTGTAAATAGTCTGATCAATGTTGGACACAGCCTGAAGTTACCCTTTATATTTGCTGAATACAACTCATCTTTTGTAGTTTAAAATTTCTATTGTTTTGGAGCTAGCTGTGAGTTTCTAGAGATGTACAGAATTACTCCTGTGTTCTGCGGTTATGTTGAGTAGGAATAAATAAATCTGACTGACTGCCTCCTGAATGCTGCAATGGGGTCTCTGCTGTCCCTGTATGTTCTAGACCCTTCACTTCGGCCTTCACATGTGACAGTGGGCACCGTCTCAGTGAGCTTTGCTCACCTTCAGAAATTATGACTTACTGTTGGGACTCCCCTTTGACTTTGGTCATCTGACACCCTACCTCCCCTTGCCCTAATGACTGGATCCAGATATGCCTGGCTTCACCCCTCAGTGCAGACCACAGGCTCCACTAGGGAGGAGGGAGGCACTCCATCTACCCACATTTCTTTCTTTCTTTTTTTTTTTAATATATTTTTATTGATTTCAGAAAAGAAGGGAGAGGGAGAGAAAGAGAGAGAAACATCAATGATGAGAGAGAATCATTGATTGGCTGCCTTCTGCATGCCCTCTTGGGTTGGGAAGTGCACACAAGTGGTGGAAAGCCTTGAGTGGGTTAAGGGTGGTTCTGGGAGGGGCGAGTCAGAGGGAATAAGAGCTGGAGTAATGGGTTCCTGTCACAGTTGTATAGCTGGCCTGTGACAGGCAGGGGCTGGACTGAAGCTGGCAGAAGACATCCCAGCTCGGGCAACTTGGGTGGGTTGGGGGTACACAGGCAGGAGACTGGGCAGGGCTGTAGAAGTACCACCCACTCCTTCATCCTCTGGAGGAGAGGGGTTTCTTTTTATTTAATATATTTTTATTGATTTCAGA